TTCATGTGGTAATGCATTTTAATTGACAAATATTAAATGAAACAAGTTTATAACTGATATAATATTATGATAATTGTACATGTGATCTTGTGGGGGAAAATGAAATAAAATCAATAAATAAAATAATAATAAAGAATAAAAGAAAAGAAAAAAAATATATACATTTTCCCATGATGTTAGTAATAAATGAACCAGAAATGGCTTTTTGGTCATCTGCGTAATTTTATGACCTCACTTCCAGAAAATACAGAACAGCTCTCTTAGCACTTTCCATTGCATAGAGTCCAGACATGTTTTGCAGCTTCACTTATGAAGTAAATAATTTGATTGTTCTAATTCAGTTTAAAGTTGCCTTGAGCATGACTATTTTAACTATTCTTATCCTAACTTACTTCTGAACCAGGAAAACAAAATGGGCATACAAGAGATATTGATAACTTTGCTTCCCTACAGTTTGCATAAAAAAAGGAAACTGTCCATAATAGAAATTAAAGTATTTGAATGCTTTCTTTAATGGTTTACATGTGAACATGCACACCAAACACATGTCCTTTTAAAATCCATAATCTGTTAGTCACAGACAAAAATTGAATTTTATAATATAGATAATTTCTACAGCACCAGAAATGTTTCTACAATCTGTCCTGAGATAGATATATGTTTAGCTTTTGACTGAGTCATTGTAAACTAGAAATTCATACTATAATTTACTTTTCTTTATCTTTTATTGTACAAATGGCCATTAATCAATGACATAAGCTATAGGCCTTCTTGAATGCAATGTCAATATACTTGTAAATATTAGGCTCATTATATTTTTATTTCCTTTTTTTTTTCTCTCCACTGATTTGTTTTAGAAATTGTTATTGAGAACTAATTTTTTTTTGCTATTTTTTGTCTATCTCAAACAAAATTTGGCTGTCATACACAGGAAATTACATTATGCCAACAATATTTTCTTTTATTGATCAAAAGTATCTGAAAAGAGCAATATCCATAATGTTACACAGGCTATGGAAGTTGATTGAATATTGATCAGTATAGAATAAAAGATTTTTTTAAAATCTATCAGTCCTGAACTCATCATGATTTGCTATAATGCAAATGTATCTGTTCTGTTTTGAATCATTCAGTTGTATTTTCACCACAAGCCACAGGTAAACATCATCTATCACTGTCTTAATGTTATGTATGCATTTTTATACTAGATTGTTATCTTTGCAATTCTTGTTCTTCAATCAAACTATAGCTCTTCTGACAATTTTCCTGTTCATTTGAAATTACAATGTTGTTAATATTTCTGACCAGATTAAGAGGCCAAAAAACCATTTTCCTTTCTGTGATATGTAAATTTTTCATCAACAGTAACTCCCATGTTGTACACTCTGAGCCATGCCTAAAAGTATTCTTCTCAGCTATCATTCAATTGCTTCTCATTTTCTTTCAAGGTTTTCATTTTATTAACAAGCTGGAATGTAATAATAATTGGAGGTTATTCCTATGTTCCTAGGGTATCTGCTGATGATGTCATTTCTGAGAGAGCTTCAAAGTATATCTTTCCTGGGATCCAATTTCTATTGCAGAGTTCAGTTTCTCATATTTTCCTCATTCTTCTTAAGTAATCTTTGCTGACCTATTCTTTCACTCTCATTCAATACGTATCCAATATTCCTAAATACTTACAATTTTTGTTCCTATCACACATCTTAATAATTTCTTGGCTGGGTAATTCCTTCTATTATTTCTCTTTTTCATTAGTGCATCATTACCATTGCATGTTTCTCAATTCTTATCTGCTGATTGAAAATTCCCACCATTTTTATTAAGATATCAAATTTCTTCTTTCTTACCAAAAATTTCTTGAGTCATCTATAGATATAAAGGGGTTCAGTTTTTCCTGTAATACTATAAATCTATATCCACTGGTACAATTTCATAGAATACAACCAAGATATGTATGACAAAGATTAGTGAAGATAGAGAGTCCCCTTGCAAGATTATTTTCGTAATTAATACTTTTTATACTCTATACAGGCTTATGGCTGCATCACAGTGAAACACTGGTTCCTGTACAATCACCAAAGTTATGCAACAATGAGCCTGATTAGTACCTAGATGGGTGATCACTTGGGAATACCAGGTGCTGTAAGCTTGGATGTATAAATGGTGTAATTGATAATGGTTCTGAATTGTTAATCACACAGTAAAGTTCTAATTCCAATTGGGTTCTTTACATTCACTTTTGTACAAATAACCTTTTGAGAAATATGAATTCACCTCTTCTCCCACAGATATGGATTAGTTTGTAAGACTTATCACTAAATCATTATTATCTAAAAACAAAAAATCTTACAATCTAAAAATATTTTCTGGCTTTAAATAACCTGCAAACGGTTGATAAGCTGCATAAAAGAATCAATTAATCAATATAATCTGTTCATATGTTTATGAATTATATTTTTTCTTGGAAAGGTCTGATATATAAAATATATTTTTACTTTACTAATGAAAAATATTAACCTGGTCCATTAAAAAAAAATTTTTATTGTGTAAAAAGTATTGTTTATTACAGATATATTTCTGAAAAAGGCAGTTTTTTCGATTTCATTGTTGGGGATGATTATTTTTTAGTATATTTGATTCTGGCTTAGAAGAAAATAGTTACTAAAATATACCATAGGCACAAGTAATCTCCATGTCTTTGTCAATGTAGAAATGTAAAAATGTTATAAGATAGGCATAAATATGGAATAGAAAATAAAAGTATAAAAAAGAGAACTCTTTAGAATTCAAGAAATAGGAATAGCCAGAGGAACAGGAATTAGACTAAACACTGATGCTCCAGTGATTGGTCTAAAAAGTGCACCAAGCTGATCAAATATTAATTTTTTTAAACTGATGCACTGAATATAAAATCTATGTAAAATTTTCAACTTAAGAAATTTTCTATTAATCTGATTATTAAAAAATATACAAAAATCAGTAGATATTATTTAAAGATTTGTCATAATTTTGTTTTGCCAAGTCATGAATGCAAACATGAGAAATAATTTGATAAGCACAAAAATAGCATTGTGATATTTTTTCAAATGTGTGCTCAGTTTTTCAAATTTTATTTAATAATCTTTTATTGCCTAAAATCTGGAAAAATATTAAATTAAGTTTAAATCTGGCCCCAGAAGTACAAGGTTTTTAATCATGTACTTGTAATAAAATTACATTTGCAATTTCCATTTTCCACACAAGGAAGATTTGATTCAATTTTATCACTTTTGGGGAAAGAAAGTCATTCTGAGTTAGAACAACATTTGCCTGATTGGTGGATTCATGTCATTCAGAAAAACATATAACAATAATGTATGAATTAAATGATCTTTTTTTCCCTCTCCAACCTTTTGTCAAATTGTCTTTTCAGTTATATTTTGTGACAAATAGGAATGACTCACAAAGCTCAGCAATGGCAGACAATTTAAATATAGATACAATTTTTTTTTTAAATTATCAACACCAATATTATGAATGTGTTTTTGCAATATTTTTACTTTGTTCATAGTAAAGTAGAAATAAAGTGGCTCCAATAAACTTTAATATGTATTGTTGTAGCTTTGCTATTAATCATTTTTATCTTTTTTTATTATTCTAATTGTGCATATTTAAGTGCCTGTCTCTACTTTTGGCCAGAGCCATGTAAATTCTTGTGTGGTGAGGATGAAAAGATGAATGAATGGAATGTGTATATAAAGAGGACACTACAACTTTACCAAATTCAATAGTAATAATAAAAATTTAAAAAAATACTGCAAATTATTACAGTATGATTAAGATAAGTGTTTCAATCTACATAGGCCACTGTAGCTCAACCAACTATATAGGAGAAGGAAACTCCATCAGATAACCTACAGGACTTTACCACTATCATTTAACTTCATGGGGCTGTGGCTTGTAAGCCCTTGGTTTAGAAGATATAGTTCAGAGTATACATGCCACACTTGGCTTAAAACTTCACAAATGTAAACCTGAGAAAATTATATATGTAATGTTAAACATCATCTTGCAGCATTAACATTTTCATCACAATAATAGGAAGCTGGCAAATGATTACTTCATCCTAAGTTTGATATTTTATTCACTTTTCTGAAGTTAAAGATAAATGTGGCCATTCCTTCTATATTAGGCTTAATGTTTTAGCTTGTAAAATAAAGCCATAGTTTCTTTAACCCTTGATGGTTAGAAACCCCCATTTGAGATTTAAAATCCCAAATGGGGGTATCTAGCCATTAATACTGTTATACCCACAAATATCACTTATTAACAGTGAAATTTACAATAATGGTTTATTTGTGTGTCCTTATGAGGTGCAAGTTACAAACACAGAAAATGTAATAAGAAAAACAAAGTTCAAGTTTTGGCCAAAGCTTCTTGCATTTACTTTACATTCAAGCCCTTGGGTAAGAATATGAATTTACTTCTCCCTTCAGCTATGAGTAAACAGCAGGGTAAACTGTGCACACTACTTTGGTTGGCAACCAATCATGGAAATGGACAAGTCCAAAAGAAAGAACCAAGAACATGTACGTTAACCAAAAATAATCGTCTAGCATGCAAGTCCAAAGCCCAAAGGAAAAAACCCTGATCCGAGTAGGCAAAATAACTAAATAAAGTGCTCAATACAGTAAGTCGAGCAGACCTAGTTAAACCTAGAGAGCCAGACAAACCTACCAAGGTTTCACCTAAGCGGATCATCAGGGAAGGCCAGCCTTCCCTGACAATCCACTTAGGTGAAAGCTTGGTAGATTTGTCTGGCTCTCTAGGTTTAACTACATATATATATATATATATATACAAGTTGCTGGGGAAATCTGTTATGTGGCACATCCTCACAATGATAATCAACCACCAGATGTATTTGTAAGCAACAAATTATTGACTTTATATAAAAGATATGTTATAAAATATCTTTGCTATAAGTTTTAAATGAGGATTTTAAAATTCATACTTACGCATAACTTATTTAGTTGCAATTCAAGTATTTTATGATTTGAATCCTTCTCTTCCAATTCTTTATTCAAAGTTTCAATTTTGCTTTTATACTGACTCATCTCTTCAGTTTTAACTTGTCCCTGCATGCGTGCAACACGTCGGTTCAAATTCTCAATCATAAGGTCCTGAAAAGATATTCAGCAACATGGTTAGAAAGATATATACAAGATTCCCAAAGTGTTCTAATACATTTTTGCATGGCAAATTATTAAAACTTATCTCTTTCAAACAATGAATGTACCTAACTTTTAGACACTTACAGTAGAAATAATTCACAATTATGTTTCTGTTATCTATAATTATGATATTTGGTTTTAAATTAGTTATAAAACTTTAGATTTTTTATATGAATTTAACATTGTAAACAAAATTCCCTTTTAAAACATGTTTATATTGTAATACTAGCATGCTTTGACTACTCATTATCAATTCACAAAGTAAGATATATTCACTACTTGAAATCTTTGAAATGAATATTTTAAATGAACATTTCATTCCTAAATTGGCTTCTTATAGTTAAGGAAAGTTTTACAAATAGATGCCACTTTGTTGAAGGCCAAGTCATACACTTTTCTGCACTATATAAGATGATATTTCTAAACAGAACTATTTTTGATATAAAAATCAAAACAAACCTCGAATAAAAGAACAGTCATGAAGAACAGTTAATGAAATAAACTTTTTAAAAATCAGTATGCAAATTAATTAAACCTGAAGAGTGATATTGCTTAGAATTAGATAATATATAATACAGATATTGAGCTTTTAGTGCATAAATTCCTCTCTTGTGGGGTATACACATTTGGATACTTATCAGTCACAGGGATCCATCCCTGTGCTGAAAGTATCACAGCTAGCTAGATTAGCTTGGACCAGCTCTGACCAGCTAAGACCAGCAGCCCGAGTGAAGAACATCAGGTCCCCACATTAAAAACCGAACATGTGTCACAACCTGACTCAGTGGGGGTTCAAGTAAACCATGTGTAAATTACTCTTTCGAATGGTTTCTAACACATTAGTTACTGGGGAAGTACTGGGGAACAACTGCCCAAGGCCATGCCTTCTCATGGCACCAGAGAGAGGGATCAGTGCTTGCACTGAGGCTAACATAACCGACAGTTGCGGGGAGAGTGACCAATTTTTGTTCCTTACCCAGGTGTTTGCTCAGGCTCCCCACTTTAAAGCAAACTTGTGTCACAACCTGCCCTCGTTGGGGTTGAGTAAATATAAATTATTCTTTCAATTAGTTTCTAACACATCTATTTATTATCTCTCAGTTACGTCTCAGTCTTTGGACAGAGTGCACTCAGGGGCAGCTCTGTCAAAGGACAAAGTTGCAGCTGAGGAAAATTATACTGAGAGGTGCCGGCCCTGAGGAACAGCTGCCTGAGGCAGCACCTTCTCATTGCACTAGATAGCAGGAATGGTGCACACACCGAGGCCAGTGCCACCAATGGTTGTGGGGGCTGTGGGAAATGTTTGTTCCTTGCCCAAGTGTATGCACTCGAGCTCCTCAAACTGACCTTGCATCACAACCTGACCTCATGCAGGATTGAATAAATACAAATTACTCTTTCAAGTAGTTTCGAACACATTACTTACAATCTCTCATTTGCGCATCTGTCTTTGGGCAGAGTGCGCTCAGTGGCTATTCTGTCAAAGTTGCAACTGAGGAAAATTCTACTGAGAAGTGCCCAGTCCTGGGGAACAGCTACCCAAGGCCATGTCCTCTCATGGCACCAGAGAGAGGTATCAGTGGCTCACACCGAGGCCAGCACAACTGATGGTTGCGGGGGCTATGGGCAATTTTTGTTCCTTGCTCAGGTGTTTGCACTTGGGTCCCCTACTTTTAAAAGGACCTTGTCACATCTTGTCTCAGTGGTGAGACAGAGTAAATACCGTGTGTAAATTACTATAAAATAGTTTGTAACATTATTTATTATCTTTTAGTTACAGCTCTATCTTTGGGCAGAGTGCACTCAGGAGTGACTCCATCAAAGGACAGAGTCACAACTGAGGAAAATTATACTGAGAGGTGCCTAGCCCTGGGGAACAGCTGCCCAAGGCTGCACTTTCTCATTGCACTAGAGAGAAGGATCAGTGCACACACAGAGGCCAGTGCAACCAACGATTTTTGTTCCTTGCTCAGGTGTCAGTGCTCAGGCTCCCCACTTTAAACCTACCTTGTGTCACAAAGTGACCTTGTGGGGTTTGAGTAAATAAAATTACTATAAAATAGTTTGTAATTTATTTATAATCTTTCAGTTGCATCTTTGTGTTTGGACAGAGTGTGCTCAGGGGTGGCACCATCAAAGGACAGTGTCACAACTGAGGTAAATTATACTGAGAGAAATCCAGTCCTGGGGAAAAGCTGCTGAGGTCACATGCACTAGAGGGAGGGAGCAGTTCTCACTCCGAGGCTAGGGTTACATGCTCGGGCTCCCCACATTAAAGTGACCTTGTGTCACAACATGACTCTGTGGTGGGAGGATGGGGTTGAGTAAATGCCAAATTACTATAAAGTAGAGCTGGGGCTTTTTAATCTCAGAATTTGTGGGAGAATTGTGCTCCAATTTCATATTTATTCATATAGATTCCATAATATAGGTTTTACTTAATTAGCTATTATTATGTTTCTCTAACTCTTCAAATGTTGAATGTATAACTAATTCTAATTTCCCATCTTTACACTATATTAATTTAATCTTATAAATTATCCCATTCTGTCACTCATGAAATAAATATAATTGTTTGTATGGAAAATAAGAATATACATACATCAAATTGTCTCTAAATTAAGTGGCAGCAGAAGAATTATCATTGAACTTTTAAAAGGTAAGCATAAACATTAATTCAGTACTTAAATGCAGTGATCAATTTTCAGTTCTTCTTCATTGGGAGCAGAGGAGTATTTGGACAAACACCTGCACAAACACACACACACACACACACCATACTTTATATATAAGATGATATTGGATTACAAGCATCTGGTGTACATTAAAAACAACTATACTTCATGAAAATTTACACATAAATGTCTTAAAAATGTTTTTCACTGATAAACAAAATCAACTGTTAATTGCTAACCTGTTTCTTTATTTTATCCATTTTAGCTTTAAATGGCTAATAAAAATTCCTGAGAAATTTGTTTGTTTTTAATTGAAATTCTTAATGAATTTTTCTTATCTCCAAATTATATTTCAATAAATCTTTCTGCTTCTCCAAATCATATTTTAAAAATTATGCAGCAGTTTTTTTTAATGAATTCATAAAAGATAATGGTAATATAACAAAAATGACCAACTATTTGTCCTTGAATAGCATTTTCCTAAAATATCAGGTTTTAATGTGATAAAGAGAAAAATATATTCTTTAATTGAGATATTTCTCTCCAGATAGTTCAGATTTGATTGGCTATATTTATCATTGTTAAATCAAGACCAAACCATTCATGCACATATTAAAATCATTACTTTGGATGCATATCTCTGTTTTCTCAAATCTTCTCTTCATCTATGATGAAATTGTCTAGCATTCACTACCACGGAGGACAGATATTAACATATCAGTTTAGTACTCTTTTCTTTGGTTCTAATGAATTTTTTTTGTTTCTTAAAACTTCATTAATTTTTGGAAAGCATTTTTCACTATTCTAAATGTTTGGATTTTGGCATCACATTTCTGTTCACTGTTAAAACACTTCCCAGATATTTAAATTTCCATAAATGTAGATATTTTGACATGTTCAATGCGTAGCTTGCCTCTTGAAATGTACCTCTTGCTGCCAACCATATATTCTATTTTCTTACACTTGATAGTAACCCCTTTTTTTTTCATCTCAATTTCCTTTACCACCTTATCCAGAAATGCAGGTGAGATACAACTCCAAAATATTTTATATTTCAAAATCTGCTTTTTTTTTTGTTTTGTTTTACAACAATAAATGTTTTTTTGTCCAGTTTCTTCTCATGAAAACAGATTCCATATGTCAGGAATTAGATTAAAAACATGAAGATTTCTTATTACGCCAGCTCAGATTTTTACTTTTTAGATTTTTAAATGCAGACTGTCATGCAAAGTGAAAACTTGTTATGTTGTCCTTTTATTTATACCTAGTGTGTTAATGTAGCAATATACATGTGAATATTTAATAGAGAAATGCTTGGCTATATTTGAATTAGTATAAATTTGAATAACTTAATAACTATAGATTCATAAAAGCAGCAACTTTACAGATTAATAGTATATGATTTAAATGCTATGTAAATTTTATCTTTCTCCATATAGTCAGTTAATTAAATTTTAAGTTGACATCCACTCAGTAGGAATATTGTATATTATCATTTTCAATAAAAATAGGTTTTTAGTTTGTTTAAAGCAATAGACTATGTTTGTTATAAGTTGAATCTATCTAATTTGTTCATTTTACCAAATTTTAATTTATATAGACTTTTCAAATTTCTATTCACAAACACTACACCATGAATAGCCACAGAGACTCTTATGCATACAAATGGATGCATATGTATATACACATGCACACACTTGATATTGAGTTATGTACATCAATTCTACAAAATTATCATTGTAAACAAGTACATAAAATGATACTGAATACATAAGGAATCTTTGCATATCACCCCACTACACAAAACAACTATTCTTTAAAATTTCAAGTAGATTCCTCTTGGAGAACATTTGATAGGCAAGCTGTCTAAATCCTTATCAATTCAGAAAAATGACACATTTGAGATGTGAATTCCAAATATTTTCATCATAAAACATTGTTATTGACACTCTAAAATCTATAGAAAATTTCAGAAATGCTCTAAACAAAAATTATTTAACTGCCAACCTTCTCTTATGCTTAAGCTCAGTAATGTCAATAAAGTGTTTCCTTGTCTTTGTGCAGATAAAAATAAACTTAAAAGATAATTCTTCAAAAATCAGTGCTAAGAATACTTTCATAATTCATATCAATTTCAGTAAAAATGTAGAGACCAGAAATATCTTTCTGAAATCAAATTTTGTAAATTACTGGGGAAACTCAAAAAATAATTCCTATTATTTCTGTAGACACTATAACACATACAATGAACACAATAAAACAGTTGAATAGAGC